AATGACTGCTGATGATATGAAACTAAGCATGTCACTACTTATTTCAAGAAATAATTACGTTATAAATTTATATTTCAATATCGCGAACTAAAGCGTTATTTACAACAATAATAAAGAGAATTTTTAGCTTGGTCTATAAATGTATAACGGTAAAATTATATTCCAGTTTGGTATCTTATATTTTGCCCTAGAATTGAGCGCATCTTCTAACAAATATTGGATATTAATTAAATGCAACTACATACCTTTACTGTGCTGTACTCAAGGGTTTTTGATGATCGATATTATTCATATCCGTTGGTCACGATTTATAGAAGAATTATTCAGGATATTAATTAAATGCAACTACCCACCTTTACTATTCTCAAGCACTTATTGATGATCAATTCTATATTCCTATCGATCGGTCATAGTTTATGGAAGAATTGTTCTGTAGGCTTTGCTTTTGCAAGCAATTTATAGCTTCACACAGGATACTTTTGATGGAAAAACATTGTCCCTATTGACTGGCTTTTGTTTCAGATTTAAGCGCTCGAAATTACGGCAGCAATTTATAAGATATAATCTAGGACAAAAATAACCACGGGTTAAAACTTTCCAGCTTTTATTTCTAATAAGTTGCAAAAAGCTTTCAAAGGTACAACGCGTAATATAATTATATATTTTGGTATGTTTTTCGTTTGATATTTTCGCAGCAAAAAAGTAATTTTTGAAAGTATAGCACAGCAGTTAATCAAGGTTAGTATTTTCATAACTGCTGCAAAATGACTGTAAGAGCTTTTCAGCCTTTTCTATTGTAGTATAGAAATAATTCAAGATTGACTACAACTTTTTAAATTTAACAAAATAAAGTCTATGTGGACAACAGTACTGTAGATGTTTAGAATTCTCGTTATTAATAGTTACAATTCGTACGTTATTATTAACAAGTTTTCCTTTTAATGATGGAGTAATATTTACTAAATTGCTATGCTATTCCTTCTATTTATTCTATGAAGTTTATAATTATTAAAGCTATCACGTCCAAATTCTGTGTTGAAATAGTTACCAACGTACATAATATCGTATATATCAATAAATGCATTTTATGTTTACGATGGTAGGAAAAGTGCGATGACAACGTGTCAGCAAATGTATGTGTGTCCTTCCATTAAATCAAGAATTCTTTATGTAAATATGGAAACAAATATCGTTAAAATATACAGTATTGTGCAAATATATTCATTATATATAATAAAACGACGAAGGTTATCATATTAAATGAAATGGAAGACGAATGTAGATAATTTTCACAAATACGGTATAGTGATAGTATCTAAAGTAGACGCCGTCTGGAATTCATAGAAGAATGAGTTCTACTATAAGTTATACAGTATATATATATATAACATCTCCCAATTACGTGTATTTTTTGTTTACATGCCTATATATAATAATAAAGGTGTGATTTCTAATTCTTATTTCATCAAGCTATAATAATCGGCTACATGTTGGTAAAATGATACCGTTGTTAACAACTGCGGCATCTACCAGTAAGGATAGTAAAGATATACAAGATAGATATTTCCTTGTGCGACTTACGGTAAGGTAAAGTACTTCTTCATGCAACATATACTAATATGTGTGTTTATTCATTAAAAGAAGGAATGGCATGACAAAATAGTCAATTTTCAATTTCTAGCTATATTAGTGAACGACACGAGTGAACAAGATGAAATTAGCTGAGATTTCAAATGGAAATCGCATTATCTTATTGGCAGTCAGTACTATGCAACAGGATTATTCTATACTATGGATATTCGTTAAAAAGAGAATGACATGAGAAAATAGTCAATTTTCAATTTCTAGCTATACCAGTTCACGACACGAGTGAACAAGATGCGATTAGCTGTAATTACGGATGCAAATTGCGATATCTTATCGATCGCTATAGCTTTAAGTGATTGCAAAGTTAGCAAAATACTGTACTTTAAACAGTGAGGAAAAATAGGGCAAGTTAATATGCAATTTTTGCTTCTTTTCTAATTTCTGTCTTGAACTGTTTCATTGCCTTGAGCGAAATTGGTACTTTGTGTTTAGGATCGAATAAGGAATTTGCAGTCACTGTCATTACATTTCTTCTAAGTACAAATTTTGTATAATCGTGAAAGACTCGAAATTAGTGAATCTACAGTAAATCGGATGTTATTACATATTCTTGATCGAATTAAGTTTCTACTTGACATAACTAGTTCTGACAGACCACAGCATCAAATCAATAAGAGGGTAGGCCACTCGTATGTTGTGAACTCGTGACAGTTGCTGTTGAAAGATTTCAAACTAAATGTTATATAAGCGTTTATGAATTCGTCAGTACCCGATACAGTGAGCAAAAATCAATACATCTGCAGTCGAAGACATTGCTACTGTCTGCACACTGTAGAGAGAAAAATGAGAGTTTTTCTACACCGAAAAATTGATGCTAACAAGCAAAAACATATAAGTGACGAAGATACGTGGTGGAAGAATCATCTGGCCTAAAACGACGTTATAGATATGCCATTTCCCCCCCCCCCCCCCGGGG